GCAATTAGGATAGACTGTGAGTATTGGTCATGAGTCGGGTAGGTGGAGTGAAACTTACTGTCATTTGCACAGAGTGAACAACTGTCCCCAGAGGGTGGGGACGATATTCGATCGCCACCTGGCGTCGGCGTCAGCCACGGAATTAGCGTATTCTAACAACATACCACTGGATTCGCTACAGCCGTATAACCACTGCTTCGGCTATTGCTAGCATCCGTTGGCGTAGACCATTGGTGAAGCTGACTGGTGTCTGGTGGACAACCTGAAAGGTTTCGCTTGTACTGAAAGGTTTCGTTAGGATCGACTCAGTGATTCGTATCGATAAGGTGTGCGAGAATAAAACTCGAGATCGATCTAGTTTCACCTTTGTTTATCCAGGCCGGTATGTGCTCACGTACCCTCTTTTCCAGGTGCCTTGTTGTTCGGCCGATGTATCCTGCTCTACAGGAGCAAGTGAAAGAGTAAACACACATGGATGTGGCCTTCACCGGCAGTCGGTCTTTACTTCCCAATCGTAGGAGGGGAGAGTTCATAAAAAAAACACCCGTAAGTTCGCCGCTGGGAAAGCGCTTGCGATTGCGGCCCTCAAGCGTCGCCTGAACAGCTCACTTGTTGCATCGCCTAAGAAAGGCAGTCTTATGAACAAGTCTTACTTTTCTGCGGTTAAGGCAGCAGGCTTTTTGGCGGGCTCGCCAATATTCCTCATCCTCTCCAATATTCTTCATCCTAAAAAGGCCGGTGGAAGAGGCTTTAAGCGCCCACCATTATCTTCCGTTGTCCGGACTGAGTCAAAATCAGTGGTCGCATAAATACCCCATTTCTTGCCCCTACTTATTTTTAGAGAAGCAAAAAACGCGTCGCCGGAGGAAAGAGTGGTTGGAAAATGTCCTAGAGAAGAGTGAAATGAATTTCGATGAGGAGGACCCTGAAGATGGTACGCGTGCTGCCGCCGTCGCATTCATCTCGACGGATGCACCTAGTGCAAAACTCGATCAGGATCATATGCAACCAGCGGCTGAAAGAGTTGGAGCAGGAAAAGACCTGGACGAGACTCGAGAAGATGAAGCTGAGGAGGAGGCTGAACCAGAACTGCCTGAGAACCCTAGTCCCATCTTTATGACAGGAAAGAAATTGATTCCCGTATTGAGTAATAGATTCTGTTCCCGACGATACACCGGTACCCCGTTGGAAGAAATGGACGACTTTTACAGGAATAAAAGGGTAAGTCAGGTCTGGGTGTTTTGAAGTTTCGCGGTGGCTCTTCGCTGCGCAATTTTATCAACAGGCGGTATAGAGTTTTTTTACCGATAAAGTCATTTGGGAAAGAATGAAGTTCATTTTGTGAAGCTTCGAGTCTCGCTTCCCAGACAAATGCAAGTTGTGCGAAACAGTAAACTCAAAATGATGACTAACACAAGGTTCTAGGGTGGGTCAGAGTGTAGGAAGACAGTCGTCGCCCACAGTTAATTATTCTGAATAGTCTAAAATATGCGAGGCCCAGGTTATTGAATAGAAGGCAAGAAGACGCTCTCAGGGACCAGTATTGTATTTGCCCGACGATTCGGACTCTCACTCGAGGCCATTGTCAAGGAATGGAAAGGTACAGCTCGCTGCGTGATTAAATCAGCTCTACCGTGGGTGACCTTGAGTTCCCATTGTTCGCTCCGCCGCGAGTGACC